TAAATATCTCAAACAACGAAATTAGTATAGTCAACATCACCACAGAAATAATAATTATAGCAATGCACAATTAACAATAAATCAGTTGCCCAAAATGTATCAAAGCACATTATTTATCATGTTTGATTTATGTATTTTATTGGTATGTTAGAAATTTCATAGGTTTATAGAACCTTTCCACGTTTTGTACAAAAAAAGAAAAGACATGAATTTGGAATTACTTCAATGTCATTAATGCCCATACCATGGAGAGTCTTAGCACAATTTCAAAGAAGCTGACATGGAGAGAGAGAGAGAGAGAGTTCATGATGTACAAAACTATTATAACCATAGCTAAACAAAATAAAAGATTGAGCAAAATTCGATGAACGAAATAAAAATATTACATAAATGCACCTAAACAAAATAAAATATTGAGTAGAACTTAATGAATAGTGTCAAATTTTAATATTAACAATATAACCAATGACAAAATTATGAATACTGATTATTTGGGTAACTCAAATATCAAACCATATAACCAATGCCAAAAAAATTAAATCTTATATTAAAATTCAAAACAAAAAACACCTTGCACTTGAATAAATAAATACTTTAGGGAATGAGATAGTAGCGTGAATTTGGGTGTGAGTGAAAGAGGTGTGTATGCATGCGTTAATTGAGTGTGATAGAGAAAGAGATACAGAGAAAATTAGAGAAAGAGTCTACAGTCAGGATTTGCTTGATTTTAAGAAAAGATTTGGAGAAATTAAATATAGGAATACTAATTTTGGTAACTAAATTTTTTGAGTATGAAAATTTTTTGAAAAGCTAATGTGGTATGTCGTATCGAAATAATCTCAGACATCAATAGCTTGAGATAGTTTGGGATAACGTTGTCCGTCAAATTATGCCTTTTTTTATTAGCAAATGATCTGGGTCACTCTTTGTCTCTTGAATTCAANGAGAGAAAGAGATACAGAGAAAATTAGAGAAAGAGTCTACAGTCAGGATTTGCTTGATTTTAAGAAAAGATTTGGAAAAATTAAATTTTGGAATACTAATTTTGGTAACTAAATTTTTTGAGTATGAAATTTTTTTGAAAAGCTAATGTGGTATGTCGTATCGAAATAATCTCAGACAACAATAGCTTGAGATAGTTTGGGATAACGTCGTCCGTCAGATTATGCCTTTTTTTATTAGCAAATGATCTGGGTCACTCTTTGTCTCTTGAATTCAAAATCGTTCTACTTTATTATATAAATATAGTTTCTTTTTGAACTAGAAATATATATTTAATTTTTTTTTCAATTCAACTGGCAGAGATGTCCGAACCAATTTACATACATTTTGACTATTTCTTTTCTCAATTCGATCAAAGACAGGTCATTCACACCAAGGGATAAGTGCAGTATGTTTTTGATGGATAATTCTATATGCACCAAATTAACTATAGTCGTTGGATCAATGATGNATAGTTTCTTTTTGAACTAGAAATATATATTTAATTTTTTTTTCAATTCAACTGGCAGAGATGTCCGAACCAACTTACATACATTTTGACTAATTCTTTTCTCAATTCGATCAAAGACAGGTCATTCACACCAAGGGATAAGTGCAGTATTTTTTTGATGGATAATTCTATATGCACCAAATTAACTATAGTCGTTGGATCAATGATGAAACCCACTGATCCAACGACTATAAGTGATTTGGTGTAAATTTTAATGTACATTTTCTTGTACACATAACGTTGCTATTTTTTGTTTTGACTACTCTCACCATAATTTACCCTAAATATAACCAATAATTGAATTAGGGTCAAACGATTTCCCAGTTTAAAGGACAAAGGCGAATGCAACTCCAACCAAATTAGGGAATCAAACGTCACTAGCTGCTTTTAAAACGATTTCCTATAATTTGCTTTTTTGTTTTTTCAAAGGTAATATTTCATTCTCCCACTTTGGATGGTTTTTCAGTTCGCCACTTCATTGAATTGCATCTTCCAAGCACCCCGCCACTAAGAAACATGGTTTAGTGGGTTTTTGACTATCATTTGAATATTTGATTCTGTTCCGAATTGAAAGCTGCCATTCAACCAGCTGTTGCTAAAAATCATTTTGATCTCAAAAATATAGTAAGTTCAATGTTTCACATGCATAAAGT